GGGGGAATATTATCTACTTCAATATTAGTAATTTGTTCATAATTACTGCTAATGTCTTCATTGTCATTTCTGTAAATTTCAACGTCTCATCATTTCCTCAATGTCATTATTTTCGATTATCCTCAAAGCTCGTTTATATTGAGTAATGTTAATGTTTCGTGGCGCTGCAAATTTGAGTATTCATCGCCCATATTATCAATGGTAAACTCATGCTCCAATCTTCACGACTATTTGCCTCAACCCATGCAAAAAGCTTATTCATTTCCTTCTTCAACTAGTCCTTGTGATCTAAGATGTCGAGGGGCTGTTAATCATGCGGGTTTCTGGCCATAATTGGACAAGCGACAAATTATTTTCCGTTATCAGATTGTAAAAAAACCGGTGGTCTAAATTATATAAATATTTAAAACAAAAAACTTGTGACGTATGTGGCTTCTTTACTTTTTAGCGCTGTTCCCACCCAGGAAAAACAGGTAAAATGATCTCTGGCGTGAGCTATATATTTATAATCACCATCCGGTCGAGTTCTCAAATCGATCAAATCTACTTGCGATAATAAGTCTTGCAGACACTGATTTTAGTATTGGCTGACAATTCTACATGCATTAACGAATACAGCAATTAACTTTCTGGGAAACGTAATTGTATTGTACTTTGATGTCTTTTTATAGCCAGCGTGTTGTAAATGTCGATGTATACATAATACATATTCCCTCTGGCGCAAAGATTTTACTTCTTTTGAGCAATAAATCTGTTACTTCGCTAATATTTATATGCTGAACGTTTGCGTTGTCCAGTGTTTGTATCTTGGATTAAGCACGTGTATCCGAGTCGGTCGCTATGGTGCGGAAATGTTATAATTAGATTAACAAGTGACGACAGCTTTCCTATACAGCTTATGTTTGTTTGTAGGGCGCTTTATTCTAATTATAACAACTCTAATTATAACTAAATATAAACACATATCAAATTATCTATTATTATCCCAGTTTCCAAAAAATAAACAATTAAACCATATTACGCCAATTTCAAAGGAATAGTTTTTATTACTGCTTTCTTCCGACATAAATAAATATATATTTACTAAAAAGAATCAATGACACAACTTGACCAAATGTCTTACGTTACGGATATATTTTCTCTCGACACTAACGAAATTATTGTTGATATGGATTCACAGTTTTCTCATGTCAACGCCACACAACAATACGCCTACTCTATTACACGAATCTTACAACAATATCCATCATTACACTATGCATGTGAATGGTTGCAAAATAACAATCCTTATTTAGTTGCCTATCATTCTCTGGCTTCGCGTTTACTCGAACAGAATGAACAGTCTTCAGTTAATCTATCAACAATGTGGCCACAAGCAATACACATTCCTGAAGATAATAACACTATTTCCCCTACTCACTCGTCAGATATAGTAATGCCGCCTTATGTTTTACCTGATGAAATACATAACGATGATGCTCATTATTCCCGTTTAGCTATAGGCTTTCTTCTGAATAGTGACGAACAATAGTTACCACTTAGGTTTGCAGGTCCTGAATTAGAACCATTATTATTTCCTGACCTATTTCCCGATGGCCATGGCCATCCATATATACGACATTAAAGAAGAATTAAAACTGAAACTATTTTGCTTAAAGCAAATGGTATTTTCCCTGAATTTGCGAACGAGCCAATTCGCGTCCATCTTGAGGTATATGTTTCTAAGGAAAACTCAAATTGGCATACGTTCTCTCCCGACGACGTAATTGAGATAGCCGGGCAATTGGAAAAACAAAATCAACGGTTCAAATTCGAAACAACATTGCAATATTCACAGTCAAAGCAAGCCAATACGTCACCGGTAGCGGTCCCTCAACAAAATTGGCTGAATTTTATATCATAGCCCGACATGATATTAACAAAAAAAATCTATGCGATCGAACCAAAAAAGCCAGATTGGATCAAAAGTCTCAATAGTAGGCGAACTCGACATACATGAAAACAAATTATACATCGAACTGCACAACTTTGAATACATAACTGGCGCCACACCATACACCACACCATACACCACCCCATCACTATCTATCTCATTTCCCAAACAATCATCATCATCCGCCTCCGAAAAAAGAGCCCTACTATACAGTTCATTAACGGAAACTGCAGACTAAGCTTCTAAAAACCGAAACTATCTACCCCTACTAACAACAATAACAGCTCAGAACCCAACACAAATACTCCAACTGAACCAATATTAATAACAGAAAAAAACTCAGTTAACAACCCCCAAACCTAAACCATGTCAACCACGAAAAAGAACCTTACGGTCAACTAAGAAAATTTCCGATATCGCAACTAACAAACTAGACCTCAAATATACATGACGAATCAGAATAAATAACTTATATCTGTCGATTTCTTAAAACTTTATACAAAATGTTTCACCGCAGTTTGTGTATATGTAACTTTCCCAATTTCGGACCAAATAGCGTCATGTAAAATAAAAACAAAAGCTTGGTTACTGTGTTATCGTTTTATGCGCTTTATCGTTCCAATTATTCTTCAACTCTTGCTTTTATTTCGTTGTAAAATGGCTCCATCTAAGCAAGAAGACCAACGTCAAATGAGATTACAATTCTGGAAGCAGGGAACGCGCAATGCTTCTGAAATCCACTCTCTGACAAAGATTCCACTCAAATTATATACCGTAATCTCAAAAAACTCGATGAAATTGGTGATATAAAACATAAAGGAGGGAATAGCCGTCATAAAAAAATAACAGCTGACGCCTCTCGAGCAATCGGCCAATATGTTCGGAGAAATCCCATACTTTCTGCAAAAGAAATTGCGGATAAGTTAGAAAACATTGGAGTAAAAGTCTCACGCTCAACTGTAACAAGGCATTTGACAGAGCATGGGTATCGAAATGCACTTCCTCTTAATACTCCTATGCTCACATCGGATCATATATCATAAGCAAAAGCGTATCGAATGGGCCAAAAGGCATGTTAATATAGCTGATAATTGGAATAAGACCTTATTTAGTGATGAGACTCCTTTCCAACTGTTTCGCAATACAATAAAACAATGGTGAGACCAATTCGGCCAATACCAAAAGATCAACGCAAAATCTTCGCATGGGGTGGATTTTGCGTAAAAGGCAAGACATCCTTATTTTGTTTTAAACAAATAATGGATGCAAATACGCTGAGATACTAGAAATGCGTCTGCCAGAGGTAAGGAGCATACTGAAAGGCAAATGGCGACTACAGCAAGACAATGATCCTAAGCATACTAGTCGCATTGCTAAGGAATTTCTTCAAAAAAATGTTCCTACAGTAATGGACTGGCCCTCCAACAGTCCAGATTTAAATCCTATTGAAAACCTCTGGGCAATTGTTAAAAGAAATGTGGAAAACGTAAGCCTCAAAATCTCAGTGAATTGGAGAAGTATTTGGTCGAAGAGTAGAATAATACCCCAGATAGCCTTCTAATCAGTTTCGTCGATTCAATGAAGCGACGTTGTAGGGAGGTTATTGAAAAAAGGGGTGAACGAATATCCTATTAATTTATAGTAATAACATCTACTGCTTTCAAGCTTTAAAATGATGTATTATTAGTTTGCTCATTGTAAAGTCAGGGTAGTTTTAACAATTGTCATTTTTTTGCACACCACTGTATATTATTTATACTTCACCTCATCTTTTAAATACAATTAACCTATATATATCACTGTAAAGTTCTTAATAAACCAAACAGGCCCCCCGAAAAACTAAACTTCTAGCTAGTATTAAATCTGTTCCTATTTTTATATTCTCCCGAATTACCCCCAGTGCAGCTGTAAAATTTTTTGCTTTTTGTGTTAATTTACTCAGTTGTCTCTTTATGCAGCACAATACTGGCATTGACTTTCTAATTGCAACAACAAACATTCATAATGATAAGCATGTCCACAAGACAGTATACAGCCTACCTCATGCGAATTAGTACATCCCTCCAAATCACAGTACCTATCCATGCGCGGAGGGTGTGATGTATTCCAGGCCATTGACAGTATTTTAATATCAGCTTGCATCCCAAGCGTTGGTAGTTCACAAACTTTGGATTTTGAATGTACGTTAGATGATATTACTTTTGGTCTACTGAGATTTTAATGAACACCTGTGAAGAGATTTAGTAAAATGAGTGCAGTACGTTTTTCAAGATATTCAAGCTGTTTCACTGAATATCTAATATTATGGTTCTCAGAAAAGACATATGTGAAAGAATTGCTGCCACGCATCTGATCAATTATTCGTGCCTGACGAATAATTTTGTATCTGTCGGCGAAGTGAGCTGTGAAAGTTTTCCACATAACAATCAGTAAATACCTGGAGGGAATCCGTAAGCGTCTGTGAAATAGGATGATTAGTACTAGCCCAATAGAACACATTACTTAAAAAAGCCAATGGTAACTTATTATAGTGTTTACGATTATATTGATAAAATAATAGCCCAAACGCGAAACATTGCTTCCTTGTATGCTGTCCAATTTCCACTGCGAAATATGAATCTAAAACCAGCGGGATGACGTTATCCAACAGATTGATAAGATATCTGGATTCCGCATCTTTAGACTGCTCAAATTTCCGCTTAACTACTGTATGCACTCGAGACCAACTTTGCAACTATAACTCTAACAATAGTAATGGATCAATTCGTAGACTTTTGGCTTTTTGCCAAAATCTTCTGATGTCCAAACACGTCATGAAAGAGCTTGTCAAAAAATTGATAATTGTAAGAAACACAGTTTCACGACTATTTAAGGATACATGCAAAGGTCCAATCATTGGAACAATATGCAAGATTTGTTCCGGTATTCCAAAAAGATCTCCAGCGTTGATGCGATGGTTTATAGCACGTCGCACATTACCTTGCCCAGGATAATCCATAGGTGCCACTAATACTCGCGTAACAGGTTCTTACTTCGTGAACGTTCATCATGTGCCTGAGAGCAATCATCAGTGGAATGAAGCGGTCCTTCTTTCAGATCCACCAACTTCGTATTCTGCATGCTTCGGGCAGTTCGATCCTGTCATCGTAGTATGAATTAAAAGTCTTTCAACCCGTTCATCATGTGTTTCCGATGCAGACGTCAAATCAGTAAACGTTTCCGTCCTGCATGACTAAGCCACAAATGCGAAAAGAAAGATGAGTGAGCATTTTGTAAATTAATCTTTGCATCAATACTCTCTTCGTTGTGGATACTCTTTTCTTGATTGGGGTTGTGAAATGGAATGGATGATATTCTGGCAAGTTTTCAGGAGGATTGTAAAACTTCATGCGTAGCAAGTTGTATCACTGTGCCGATACTCATGGATATTGTGGAAGTTATCTACGTTGAGCACAATCAATTTGCAATCCTTTAAAAATAAACACAAATACCAATATTAGTTTGTTAATTATAATCATAAAATGCTTATTATTATGATATTCATACACTAATACATGGTCAGATATAAACTTATTCACTGTCATTGTATTAGTATGTACTTCCGCATACTGAGCTTTCTGTCTTGCAATTGTCATTCGTCTTACAGTTAAGCCTGCACCAGCCATGGTTTCTATTGCAGCTGAAGATGCTCCAGATGCATCAAGTAAAAGCCCAATCTCTGCCTTAACCCTATTAATAAACTTGTTATTAAGTCCTGCTAGGAAATAACAAAATTTCTTCTTATTTTTGTCATTAGTCATATAACTTTTGGTTTGTGGATTAGTTCCAGCTATTAGTTTATCAAAAAACCCTTTCAATGATGGTTTAGCTTCCTCAAGCATTCTGTTGAGCTCATCTGAGTCTAAGACAGGCCTTTCACCGTCTCATGTACAATTACAATACTTCTGCCATTAATTTGATCTGCTTGCTGAGAGAAATCAACCCTAAAAGATACTATTGTTTAAGAAAGTGACTCATAATGGTATAGATAAAGATTATTTACTTACAGAGCTTTGTCGCTTCTTCAAGCTCTGCACACACTTCATGATATGCTGACCCTAGTTCTTGAAATTCTGACTCGGAATAAATAACGTCACTCCGTAATACATTCGGAACTGTTTTATTATTATATACTCTGTTGGAATTTTATAAGTCGCTGGCAGATAATAATAATTGGATAAGTTAGTAAACTCTGAATCATTATTAGTACGTACAAACAATGATGGCACATCCTCGCTCCACATTAGTATTAGAAACTAAAGAATTTAACTAATCGTTCCGGAACCTTTTTAAATTTCTTCCCTTTCTGCACCATGTCTGGCTGTAGACGAATACAAATAAACTTTGTGTTTAGGATGAGAACATACGTTAGCTTTTAATTTTTCTGCATTAACTATGAATTGATTGTAATGCTTTCGACATAAACATTTGCTAACTAACTCCAGATGTTGGAACTTGGTATATCCACCCGCTCAGATATGATGTATGTGCTCATATCGCATATTTTGTGTGAACATTTTGCTCAAAACCTTGTTTACAGTAAGAAAAAGGTCGCTTACAACAGAATGTCAAAAAATGCCTCTTAGCTAACTTTCGAATTACTTCACTGCTTGCTGAATTACTTTTTGTGGCTGTTAAACATAGGTATGTGTAACAATTTTTGATTATCCAATCAGATGTACCTTGACTCAGTATCCGTAATAGTATATTTCAGGAATATTAGACGTTTTACTAGTGCATTGTGTGTGGCAATATGAGTATAAATGAAACGCTAAGAAGCAAGAGTGTGAGATGCGTAACTAAGGAGAAAGTGAGGAAGATTGTTGATGCTATTTTGTAGTAGTGATATGTTTCTTCTTCCCCCAATTAATTTCTTGAATAGATGATGTGTATTCGTTAACTAATTAGAAACGTTAAAAAAAAATTATTATTATCGCCAACATAATTTAGCGAATTACAACAATTCGGACATGAATGAAAATTTGTTCGTTTTGTTTTGCACAACTGTCACGTACAAGCCAAAGCTACGCTAACCGAAATTGCATAAAGTCGAAGTTTTCCTGGTTCACTATAGCGTAAGCCAAACTTTATTATTAATTATGTTAAAAGGTTTCGAACGACAACTAACAATATACCGATGTTATTACGTGAATATGTATTAATTGGTTCGTTCTTTTAATCCATTGTAAGTATCCAGCAGTTTTGGTTACCGATTTTGCCTTTTCCAGTTACAGAATTCCAGCTATTACGTATTCGTACGTCACGTATTCTTTGTGGAGTATTGCCGTTCAAACACGTAGGTGCCTTGATACAAATAACTTTAATCCTTCAGAATGAACAATCACGGAGAAAGTTCAACAAGTGGTTCTTCAAAAGCAATTAAAAAAATAAAACATCAGATAAAAATAAAACGGAAGACGCTGAAAACGACTATTTGTATTAAAGCACAAGGGCATCCTAATTTTACGTTGAAAACTTTAGTCAAACGAGTTTGGAATAACACTGTTTATGATATTCTTGCAGAAAAAAAAATTGGTTAACATTAGACAAAAATTCACCACTTAGACACCGTCGTTGAATCAGCACTCGCTCTGTGGATTAAACATGCTATACGTCATGAGCAAGTTTCTACTGGTAAATATTGAAAGTTGAGCATGAATATTAATGGCTTTTAGTTTCTCCTAGGTGGATTACAAACGTCACAACTTAAGCGCCAAGACGAAAATAATTTTGCGCCTCTGGAAAATTGCCCACATTTTCGTAACGAAATGCATTTAATCATAACCAGTTGGAAACGTTTTCAGTTGCGATAAAACTCCACTTCTTTATTGTCTGGATCCTGTAAAACGCTAGCGCACGGCCCTATAACAGGACGAAGGAAAGCAAAAGATCGTGTTAAGCTAACGCTTACCGTAAGTGCTACGGGAGAAAAATTGGTCGTGGATTTGATATTTATGGATCAACAGAGATTTTACTCACGGAATTGACAAAAGCAGTTCATTATTATTAGAAATCAACGTGGATGCAAACCTTAATGTGCAGATTTCGTCGAAACATCTGCTTGTAGACAACACAAATCAATGATGATACCCCGTGGCGAATATTACGGTGCATTTTTTTACCTCCTAATATACGGCACATTTTCAGCCGGCATTATTTATAATTTCAAAAATCAATATCGAAAACTTTATTGTATTGGATCAAATTCAAAGTATGATAATTCGAGGGTGAATTTTCTCGGTTTGTAGTTCTTTTTTAACTTCTACTTTAACTTTCGGGTCTGCTTGCTATTGCTCAAGACCAGTCTCTTTCAGTTATTTCCCAAACTAATATTCTTAGAGTTCGAATTTATCAGAATCACATGGAATCAAGTAATGACCAAGACGCTTGGCAAAAGATGGGTATCCTACCTAATAATATGCAATCGTCGAAGATGTTAATTGTCAAATGAATACAAAGTTAATTAAACTTGTTAATCAATTTCCTATTGATACTCAAGACGTTAGAATAAAAGTGGCTGGATTTGTCAATTTCGTCTCCTGTACATCATATGCCTACAACTGTGTCGATTATTGCAACAATGGAAGAAGAATATTAAAGTCGGAAAGCCAAATCCATCTCTCATAATCAGCTCTCAAGCATGGCATGTCAATTCTTACTTTTATATATTGACAACGAACTCGACGCTGGTAGTACTTCTTATCTAACTTGAGAAAGTTAAAGAGTATAATTGCGACTGACTCAATATCAGAATACGTTACAGAGAAGTATTTCTTTGTTTTATTAAAATTTAGCTGTTGAATTGCAAGTCGAAAATTTG